AATTTGTTTGTTTTTGGCTTATTTTCTGCAATTTTACTAAGTTAACAACAGAAAAGTTAAAAAATGATTAGAAGCCCTTTTTTGACTTACACTTTTTCTAATTTAGTGGATAATTTTTGTTTTAAGTATAAGAATACTAATTTCTTGTTATAAAAATGTTTCTTTAATATAAATTCAATATTAAAAAAAAATTGAGGTCAAAAATTTTAATTTAAGCATACAAAAGTTTATTTTTATTGAAAAATCATCAGGTGACTTTTTTGATATACTGTAGATCGTTTTTTACAAAGTTATAACTTGTTTTTGTTTTTCTTGTTGCAGGCCCACAAAATAGACTTTACGAGAGACTACGCAAGACATATAAAGTATGTGCACAGTATAGTCACTAATTTTATAACTCAAATGTTTGTACGTTATCAATGGCTAAAAATCAAACAACAAAGTGTGTGCAAGAGGTTAAAAAAATTTTGGTACCATTATAACCAATTAAAATTAAGAATTGAAATGACATTTCGGGGAACCCAAAACCTACACTATCACTACTTGTTACTATGGGTTTGTTCTTGTAACAGACTTTAACTATCTGCACTCTACGTCACATTAGTCAATATTGCAATATAACTGGATCTTACATCAATGACCAAAAAACAAAAACCCATCCCTAATTAAGTGTAGCTGTAATATTTTCCGATAACTCGTGGGGGTGGTGAGGGATGCGCGCGGTATTACTGTATATATGTATATATGTGTATATACATATATATATATATATATATATATATATATATATATATATATATATATATATATATATATATATATATATATATATATATATATATATATATACATATATACTCGCATAAACACATTTACATTCACACACACACACATGATCATATATATACATATGCATTTATACACACACATACGTATATATTAGAGTGGGCTGAAAAATGAAAAATTTTAGCCAATCAAAAATTGTCTCCTTCTAATACCTGGCTTTTGATCTTTAAAACACACTTATGAAGAAAAAAGTTAGCGTTTACCAGTTTTTGCAGACTCACGTGGGTTTAAGTTTCAAAATGTAAAACTGTTGAAATTTTTATGGGTTAAAAATCCAAAAAAAACCATAAATAAATTATAAAATAAACTAAAATTAAGTACCAAATGATGCAAAATAAAATTTATAACATTGTTTATTAAAACAACACTTTTTTTGAAAACTATATTTATAAAGTTATTGCCAAAAATTCTCATTGTTTTTTAGTTAAAATAGTGACATATATTACAAAAATATGACTACGGATACTTTCAATATATTACATTTATGTTCAAATTAAAAATCAAGGTGCAAAATCCTTTCAATTGAAGTGTTACCTATATATAAAACACAAAAAAATATTCAAAACGTTACAATTTAAAATCACCTTTTGATGTAAAAATTTAAATTAATTTCCCTAGCCTAATTTTGTTTCAAATAACTTAATCTCTGCTATCATTTCCAACCACATAAGCTGAAGCTTCTCTAACAAGTTTAACATGAATCTCATATCTTAACTTTATAATACATTATAATACTCATATCTTAACTTAAGTGGTTTTGAAATGAAATAAATTAAATTATTTTCTCCAATCAGTTTTAAAACCGGCAGAATGCCATTGGGAAATTAGGGTCATTTTATAAAAACAGCTTTAAAATTAAATTTTAGCCTCTTACATCTCTATTCATTGAGGAATAATCGCTATTACTAACATTAGCTTTATTATGTTCATCACTCTTAACTATTACCATTACAAAATCATCTTCTTCATCATGAAAGTCTTTTATGAAGCCTTTTAAATGAAAAATTTTCCTAACGCTTTCCTTCTTACCTCTTCATCCTCGTCGGTTAACAATATTTTCACAATAGAAAAATAGCAGTTGTTATCTATAACTTTAAATAAAAAATCTACTCAGCATTTAATCAGGAAATTAATTAATTTTTTTAATCACAATAAATTGATCTTTAGGACCATCAGTTAAACGTCTCTTTTTAATCTTAATATCAAACCAACTAAGTAACAAAAAGCTTTAGATTTTTAGTACGTTTTGAAATAGATACATAATACCGCAAGATTCTTCATAATAATGTTAGCCAACAAAAATGTATTATGAGTCTAACTTCTAAAAAGGCCAAATCATCATCAATTTTCACTGTGGTACACTTCAAAGTGAGAAGTTCTTCAAACAGAAATTTTTTTAATGCTTCAAAGCATTTATCCAAAATGTATTTATTTGATTTATTTGCTGTTGTAACTGACTATGTATTATTAGTATTACCTATGTGTCTAAAAAACAACCAAATGGATATTAACTCTGTTAATTATTGGAAGTCTATTTTTAGTTTTCTGTAAATAAAACTTTTTAAATTTAGATGTTACAAGAAAATCTCATATAATAAAAAAATTTTAGTGTAAAATTTATACATATTAAACATATATTAGGCATTTCATAAAAAATTTAATGATTTTTACCCTAAGAAGTTTGACAATTTTTTAGGCTTTTATATATAATCTCAAGTGGGTTGGCAAAAACTGATAACCACATATTTTACTGCCATGAATATTCATGTTACATCTAAAATCTAGTAATTAGGGGACACCTTTTTATTTTTAGGTTTCAACCCACCCTAGTACTGTACTCGGGTTGTAAATAAAATAAAGAAAGCAGATAGAAAAATCAACAAAAAAACGTTTTAAGTAGTGGCAATAATTATAAATAAAATGAATATTAAGCACCAGATAGCACATAGTACTTGAAAGTGACTTACCATTTTTTTTAAGTTAGTAATGTGCCAAATATATATATATATATATATATATATATATATATATATATATATATATATATATATATATATATATATATATATATATATATATATATATATATATATATATATATATATGTATGTATGTATGTATGTATGTATGTATGTATGTATGTATGTATGTATGTATGTATGTATGTATGTATGTATGTATGCATTTATGTATTCCTGTATATATGTATGCATTTATGTATATAGGTATGTAAATATACCAACCCAGAAATAATTAATTCGTAAAGATCTAAACAAGGATAAAAATAGTACGTGGAATTACCAAGTACTATTTTTGCCCTTACTTTTACCGTAAAAGTACACCAATCTCAGGAATACACCAGAAAATAAAAAATACACCAGAAAATAAAAAATAATTTTATAGACAGAATAGTACACGAGAGTGAATAAACACAGGTCATGGACTCGCAATCGGTCTAAGAGCTTCTAGCGGACTGAAAAAAATTTAAAACAAGTGAGTTAAAAACAAAGATTGTTTAATAACCATATGAGCGCTATTGAAGATTGTATAATGCACATTTTTTATCAAATTTATATATTATAAATATTTTTTATGATGCATAAATTTGACGCTTATTTTTATGTATCAATATTTATTAAATAAGGACACAAATGGTTTACTGTTTTAGGGAATCATATTTGTAGTAATGAATTATTTAATATAGTACATTAATTTAAATTTACAACTGCTGCATTATAATTCAGGGCCGACGACGCCGGAGGGGCGTCGTTGGGAAATAGAGGACTTTTTTTAGAAATTGACAATTGTGTCCCTCCACTTTGAAACCCATGTTGTCGGCCCTGTAATTGTTAAATTATTAACAAGTGAACATAATTATGTATCATTAGTATTATAGCAAAAATGACTTCGCTGAAGATGTTGCTAACTCTAAAGATGTTGCTAACTCTAAAGATGTTGCTAACTCTAAAGGTGTTGCAACTCTAAATTCCAAGAAAAGTTGTCTTTTTAACACCTCATCATGGCAACCTTAACCTACTTTATTAAGCTTTTGATTAGTTCTTATGCAACAAAATGCAGGTGTAATGCAACTGCATTTTATTATTTTTGTTTTTAAAGGATAAACACTGTCAACTTTTAATTATGGCTTCATAAAAGCCTTTTATTTTAAACGTTTTTTATTTTAAACATTACTTCGTTATCTTTAATATTATTACTAAACTTTTACAAATCAAAGATTCGCGTAATTGTTCCAAAACAAATTGAAATGCGAAAATAACTTTTGAAAACTTTCATCGACTTGAAAATGCGCATGATCTCAAACATACAAAAGTACCACAATCTACTTTCAAAGATATTATATTTATCATAAATATTATATATATGTTGAATACTACTTTAACTTATCTATAAGACCTAGCATTAAAAAAAATCTTGATGTCGAAGCAAAAAAACTTTCCTTAAATCTAAAAAGGTAAAGTTGGTGCTTATTTCAGTTGTAAGAAAATCGAAACAAATTAGTAGTATGAAAATCCAAACCAAACGTAAGAAAATTCTAATCAATCACAAAGAGAAGTAAGAAAATTCTAACCAATCACAAAGAGATTTAACTCGAAAATTCAAGATTTCACATGCTTTATGTCCAAAAAAGTGCCAAAAAATGATAGAATTAATAACATTTCTTAAAAAAAATGCACCCAAGAGAAGCTTAAATAATTAAAGGAATTAGACGCGCAAAGAAGTTGGTTTAAATATTTGTTGATAAAAATATGTTCATAAGTGAAGATGACAAAATAAATGTGAGGCGGATTCACAGTTTTCTGGTTGAAAAATATATGTAACAAAGATAAACCTTTAAACGATAAGTTTAAATATATTTGACAAAAATAATAACATTCAAGTTCATTGTGTCACATTCAATTCGCAACTTTAGTATGAAGTGCTTTTGTTTGCTTTTGCAATTCAACTCATCGTGCCTCTTTAAATGAAGTTGAAATGCTGATTATTTTTAATTAAATTTAATTTGAATAAACAAGCCTTTATAGTTTTAGAGGAATTTAAAGTTGAACGGAATTTCCCGTGTTCACCCGATATATTATAAAATTGCAAAAAAAAGAAAAAACGAGTTTCAAAATAACCAAAAGTTTATGTTAACAATGGTATATTATATAATTTATAATAATAAAGCAAAATTATGTATAAATCATCATGTGAACAAAATGAAAATTCGTAAACATACTTTTATATTATCTTTTACTTACTTTTTTTAATAATGTAATTAGTTTATACTTTATAGTAGTTTTCGCTTTATGTTTCTTAAATAAACTTGTAACATTATTGTTATTGAAAATTAACTGTTACATTATGTGTTTTTGGTTGATTATAGGATATTGTCTCCCATTTTCTTTTTGATTCTGATCTTTACTATTGCGATTAATCAAATATGAGTTGACCATATCATGTCCAACATTATCGCTAAAAAATGTTGTTTCTAAAGAAACTGGTGACTCTCCTGAATATAGATTTTCTAATACTCCTGAAAATTTTCGTGGTTCAACTTCATAAATAAATCTTCTTTTTAGGGAAGGCAACTGGTGCTGTAGAGAGGTTATAGATGTCCGCGTTTTTATAGAACTGGAGCCAATGCTAGACTTAGAGTTTGAACGTTTTCTATAAATGGAACTATAACGAAGTACCAACCGAATGGTATCTTGCATAGACTCCCACTTCTCAATTTTGTTATAGAAGCATGGAAAAATCAGTTTAACTATATCTTTTTTAAATGAGTTGTGAAGTCTGCTGTATATAATTGGGTTTACAATACTGTTGCACATTTGTAGCAGAACCAAAATGTCATAAATAATTTTGACAGTTAAAAGTTCTAGAACTTTTTGGTTAAATATATACCAAATATAAAAAATGTTAGCAGGTAGTATGCAAAAATAAAAAACTAATACAACAACAAAAATCATTTTTGTTGCTTTTTTGTTTTGTAATAATCTCAACTGCATTTCACGTTTGCAATGAGCAAAAATTCCGCTTTTTGCGCTTTTTTTTAACTCCATTATAATCATTGAATATATTGTGGTCATAACTATTATTGGAATTACACACTGAATGCTGAAAACCGAAATTGAGTAAATTATAAAGTCTTTAAAGGTCATGTAGTTAAAACATGTATAAACATCAGCTTTATAAACTCCCAACTGAATATTTCCGCCTGTCAAATAAAATAATCCCAATCCTGCTGCTGCAAACCATGTGAACATAACTAACAATAAAGTGCGTAAGTGCGGTCTTTCGCTGAGAGGCCATTTTACTACAATAAACCGATCAATCGATACGGTCAATAAAGTCAAAGCCGACACTGTCATGGTTGTTGTACTTAAAAAAGAAATAGCTTTGCAACCTTCATGACCAATGCTGTATAAATTAATGTGTATTAAGTCAAGAGCAGTTCTTACAGGTGCAATTGTTGCGTTTAAAAAGTCAGCAACAGCCAAATTTAGCATGAATATTTCGCATGATTTCAGATTTGACCTTTTTACTCCTAGTATTATTAAAACCAAAGCATTGCCAAAAACTCCAAGTGTAATTACTGCAAGACAAACTATAAGGGTTATAATTAATAAAATTTGCGGTAGTTCTTGAGGTTGCTCGATAACTTGGATAACTTTTGATGTGTTTGAAGAATTATTAATTGTTATATTAATTAAAGACATCGTTATTGTTCTTGATACTAAAAATTTAATTTTC